GTCCCGGACGCGCAGACTGTTGTAGCTGGGGTCTGGTTCCTCCTCTGTACAGAAGCACTTTAGCGGACAACCGGACCCTGCTCCTCCTGCCCGTGTCTGTCGTGGTGTTCAGCCGCGGAAGAGGAACCACGCCGAGCCCCCGCCACTGGGGGGCGCCCCTCCCCAGAGCCGGCGTGCCCCGGCACAGCCAGAGGGGTGTGGGCCAAGCTCACAGCTGGGCTCAGCTTTAGGGTGTTGGGGCGTCAGCAAGTTCATCGAGAGGATCCGGCTGGTCCTGGATACGAGAGGTCCTGGATCTGATTGTCCCTGGATCCGAGCGGCCCTGGATCTGGCTGGTCCTGGATCCGATTGTCCTTGGATCTGAGCGGTCCTGGATCCAAGCGTCCTGTTTCTGATTGTCCCTGGATCCAAGTGGTCCTGGATCCAATTGTCCCTGAGTCCGGCTGATCCTGGATCTGAGCGGTCCTGGATCCAATTGTCCCTGGGTCCAGCTGATCCTGGATCTGATTGTCCCCGGATCTGAGCAGCCCTGGATCTGAGTGGTCCTGGATCCAAGTGTCCTGTTTCTGACTGTCCCTGGATCCAAGTGGTCCTGGATCCGATTGTCCCTGGGTCCAGCTGATCCTGGATCCGATTGTCCCTGGATCCGAGCTGTCCTGGTTCTGATTGTCCCTGGATCTGAGTGGTCCTGGTTCTGATTGTCCCTGGATCCGAGTGGTCCTGGATCCAATTGCCCCTGGATCTGGCTGGTTCTGGATCTGATTGTCCCTGGGTCCAACTGATCCTGGATCCAGTTGTCCCTGGATCCAAGCAGTCCTGGATCAGATTGTCCCTGGGTCCAGCTGATCCTGGATCTGATTGTCCCTGGGTCCAGCTGATCCTGGATCTGATTGTCCCTGGATCCGACTGTCCCTGGATCTGGCTGGTCCTGGGTCCAGCTGATCCTGGATCCACTTGTCCCTGGATCTGAGCGGTCCTGGATCCGATTGTCCCTGGATCCTGGGACCACTCAGTCCAGCACCAGGTACAACCACCCTGACAGCTTCAGCACAGCCCCACAACCCCCCATGTCCTTGCTCTGATGTCATCCCCTCCAAAAATCTGGGGGGTGGCCCCCACGCCCTACTCAGCTTTGGCTGTAGTACAGAGTTTAACCTCCCCCCCCACTCCCTCCCCCCAAAACACACACACCAGCGCCAAACGCCGTCCCTACCCCGTGCCACCAGTACCGGGAACGGCGCTGATAGGGGCTGGGGTGCCAGGCACGGCGGGCGGGCGGAAGGGGGATGGAATGGGACACCCTGTCACCCCCAGGGACACAGGCGGCCCCACTGGTGGGGAACCCTGTTCCTCTCCCTCTGTTGAACCCCAAAATCTCCGATTTACAGCCCAAAAAAATCCAACCCGCAAGCCCAGGCACCCTGACTGGGGGAGGGGCAAGGGAGGGGGTTGGAAAAGAAGCACCAGGACACAGTCGGCATCTGGGAAAACAACCGGGTTTAATAAGGGGGGGGGAAGGACACAGGGCTGGTCCTGTGCCCCCCCCCCGAGCCCCCCAAAATCCTGACGCCAAGGTGGGTG